CTAATATTTTCATTGATCCTGAAATGATGCCAAAAGTAGGAGGGCATTCATTTCCACTTTAAGACATAAAGCAGTAAAAAGTGTCAAGAATATTTAATTTTGTTTGGGTTTTCATTCATTTTATTTTATTGTTAAATATGTTACCTGATTCTTTTTGTTTTCAGCGCCTTCTTTATGGTGTTAAATGTTGTGTTTTGTGTCATTAACCTAATTCAGACTTTTAAAGACATTTGTATGTCATTTCACGCTGTTTTGTCCTTGTTGTAATTTGAGGTATTCTTAAATTAATTGCACAGAAACACAGCTTGCACTGACCTAAGCCACTTTTAGGTGGATAAGTGGCTAAGGTCAGCAGTTTACCTCATGGCTTCTTTTCCAAAGAGTTCAAAAAACAAACAGATGATGCCACTGTGGTCACATTTTTTTTTATACGTAATCAATAGCTGCGACTTCCCTTTTTGCACTTCTCGAATAAATGTGACACCTTTGCTCCTGCAGCTAATAAATAAATGATTTAAATAGACATTAAAATAATTAGTTCAACAACAAGACTGTTCTTAATAAGTGCATTTTGAAATCGCTCAAGCAAAAAGTCACACATTTCTCTCTGAAATGTGGAAGTGAAATTCACGATACACTTTTTTAAACTACGAAAAAAGAAATCTTCCACCAGCCGAGTGTTTTTTTGAATGTTAGATAAACATTAACATTCAAGCAACAAGAAAGCACTGCAACTAACCACCTACTGTTATCTTTGGCACTTTCTTAACTGCATGATCTTTTTTTTCCTTTACGTGTTCTTGTCCAGCAGGACACCTGACATTGCAGGACAAAGATATCCTCACAGTTAATGGTAACCCTCAGTCAGAACAATACAAGGGGGTTAGAGCAATTATGAGATTATCCTCACAAGCTCCGAGGCTGGGATTGGACGGATCTCAAAGAGCAGCATCACACAAATCCATTTTCACACGGCGGCTCCTGGGCTGGATTGATTCTAAGGGGTCCCTGTCATTATCTGTAATCCTAGTTTCCTGTTTAAAGCCCATAAGAATCAAAGACTGGGAGGAACCACACCACCTCAATACCACATCTATTCCAATAACAATGTCACCGCTTTATCACCTGCAGCACCCTATCGCTGCTCCTACCTAATGATTATCAATATACAAAATATGACAAGGTAACGGGCAAAAGGAAGAGCACGGTTTTGCTTTGATTGAATGTTTTTCTCAACAAGTTAAAATAACACCACAGGCCGGCGCAGTAAATCTGAAATGCCTCATATGCCAGGTTGTCTGTCTGCCTTTTCAGATGCACATCTATTAAGAGGAATAACCTAATATTTCCCTTACTGTTCACACCATGTATGCAGATCTGACGCTTGACTGCCACCACAATAACACACAATAAGGTGGCATCCAACGTCTCGCCAATAAAGGACAGAAAAATAAAACACATTTAGCCAAAGCAGAAAACCTGAAAACATAGGAGATGGAGGGCGCTCCAAGAGGGGAAAAATCCAATCTGAGATAATAACAGCTGTAGTTTGTCACTTTTAGCAGCACAGCTGTCTATTTGGTGGCACGTTATTTGCATTCCTCAGGTATTGCGTTCTCTACAGGCGGCTGAATAATGATTCACAAATCACTCTCTCCACACCAGTCAAGGGCTGTGATCCTTTGAATAGACCATTGTACCTGAGACTGTAATTGGTGAAGACTTGACAGAGCTGAGCCAAGCCAGCCAAGTAACAAAGAGGCTCTTGGTAGAAGGCTGAGGGATGATTTTAATAATGTGAAGCCGAGACGGAGAACGTGAGCTGCAAATGAGCACGGGGGTCTCCGGGTCCTTGCACTGAGTGACACAGGACCAGACAAACACCTTGCCACAGGAACATGAAACACCTCCTTCCCACAACTCCAGAAACAAAGCGCTGTCAATTAAGAGCTTTGAAGTGCCGTCAACATGACTCCCAAAACCAATTCTGTCAACTTCACCACTGTCTACCCGTGCCACTTTGCAATTTGTATTTATGTCCCTTCCAATTATTTGTGTGAAATTTTATGTGGATGTGTAAATTTGGAAAAATGTTTATGTAAAACATGCTGCAGATTTCTTTGTGTCTTTATGGCTCTCAGTCATACTAAAGAATAAAGGGGTGTTCTTGTTCGTGGAGGCCCATTCACAGTGTGAAATGCCTATTTAACACAAGAAACAGGCCTGACTTTTGTTTTAGAGGAAGGTTTACTGCCTGATTAAACATAAGCAAGTGAAAAGATATGCAGTTTTGTTAAAATCAGTAATAAGATGTAAGTAAAATATTTTCCCTGTAGGTCTTCTTCATGAACCTCGTACTCTAAACTAATACAAGTGAGAAAGATGTGTGTGTGTGTGTGTGTGTGCATGTGTGAGAGAGAGCGTGTGCGAGTGCATGTGTCTTGTCAGTCTCTATTATGTCCCAGAACTGAGTGCCATCTCTCACTGCTCGGTTAATAGAAAGATTCAGCACTTTCTGCTCTTGATATCCCTCTCTGAACAAATGATGCCTGAAATTTTTATTCTTTTTATAATGGAATTCCAATGGCTTCTGCTGCAAATCAAGTGGAAATTTTTGCATATCAAGTGGGAAAAATTAAATGTTAACCACGTTTTAATGTGATTAAGGGTGACAGAGACATTATTTCTGCTAATCATTCACTGGCTTGAAGGCTCAAACAAGTCCAAGGAACAAGCTGTGTTTGTGCTCTCAGATCAAATAGAAAAAATATCGGGTTTTTTTTACCAGAAAAACTTCGGCAAAACTCAAACATTTATGCATTATTATTATTATTTTTTAATGGTAAAAAACAGTCAACATGAAACCAAGACCATGTGACACCTGTTTATCTTACGTCTAGAAAAAATAATAGGCATCACACCATTTGTTGCGAGCTTTGGATCTAATGCTTATTGTATTTAAAGTACATGTAATTTAAAACACAATATATTCTACAATTACAAGAAGAAAACCCCCCACAATTGGACCTTCTGCAATAGACTGGCTCTGAATAGAGATGTTCCCCAGGTGGGGCCACCCTCCGGAGCTTGCCTGTTTGTCTTTTTGTGTGAGAATCCTAAAGGGGGATAATTCCTGTGTTTCTGAATGCCTGGGGGCTTCCCTGGGCTTTGTCAGAGCTTTGATCTGCTTAAATGGCTCAAACAATAGGAACATCTAAAGTACAGGGGCAGCTACCTGAGACAATGACCTGGGCCTGCGTCTGACATACACTCAAACAGGTTGGCTTCATCACGAGTGCAGAGCCAGTTTAGCCTGTATAAGGTCGGCCACCACCTCCGGTTTGAGTGCTCTGTCCCGATGCAATTGAATGCTGACAGACCCGAAGAGTAATCCGCTACCTACATCCTCCACAGCTCGATCACTGACACACCCACAGGTGAGCTCCCAGCACCTGAGTCTGGGTAGCTCAGCTGAATGTGTTACTTACTCCCTTCACATGTCCTGACAGCTACTGGCTTAGATGCCAGGCACAGACTTATCAAGTAATAAACCCAGAGTCCCCCCTGTTTGTCTGGTCCCAGGTTACAAGGATGAGCAACCTAGGGGGCCAAGATGCTGCGGCACACAGCATATACTACCCCCTCCTCTTCCCTTCCTCTGTGGAGGGAGAGAGAAATGAGAGGTATGAGCTCATGGTGGCTTTTGAGGCTGGGAAGTCGGGGACTCTGTGGGAAGCTTTTCATCCTCCCAGTGGTGAGCTCCTGAGCGACAAGAGTGCAGACGCTCTCTGCTCCCTGTGGCCATAGCGGATGGAAAGGCATTACCCATCGCGTCTTTAAGAAAGGGAGGAGATCTGACACATACACACACATACGCGCGCGCACACACAGACACACTATCGGCAATATTACCAACTTCTTTCAATCTTCAAAGCAATCATGGGCTGGAGGAAACAGAACATGGCGCACGCACAATGGGAGCAGCTTTAATTAAGAGCATCATCTCACATCGTATCTCAAACAAACCTTGAGGGTGTGCTGGTAACAAGCTTTTTAAAACAACTTTGCTTTCTTTGATAACTACACCCATTAAATATTGTGACTTTAAACGTTTGCACATGATAGATGAAACCTTAACAACCCCATCCGCCATAGATTTGTCTTTAAGATGGTCGTTAAGGACACAATATCAAAGCCATAACTCATTAAAGATATTTCTGTGGGGTGGGGGTGCAAAAAAAAAAACAAAAAAAAAAAAACAAAAAGCAGGGAAACATGAGAAATTCAAACAGTAACCCAGAGGAGTACATTCTACATCACCCAAAATAATTCTCTATATGGGGTATCCATGCTGTCATTC